ACACACACAGGTGAGCTGTGATACACACACACACACACACGCACAGGTGAGCTGTGATTCACACACACACACACACACACACACACACACCAATACACACACACAGGTGAGCTATGATGCACACACACACACACAGGTGAGGTGTGACGCACGTACACAGACACACACACACACACACACACACACACACACACACAGGTGTGTGTTCTCACTGGCTCGCATCATGGGGCTGTTCTCTCGGTCCTGGATGGAGCCGTGAAGCACGTCACACAGGGCGGGACACTAATGCCAGACAGGAAACAGACAGGAAACAGACAGGAAACAGTCAGAAAACAGACAGAAAACAGACAGGAAACAGTCAGAAAACAGTCAGACAGACAGACAGAGACAGAAAATAAATAGAAATCAGACAGAAAACAGACAGGAAACAGATGGAAAACAGACAGAAAACAGACAGAAAGGAAACAGACAGAAAACAAACAGAAAACAGACAGAAAACCGACGGGAAACAGCAGCTTAGAAGACGGACGGCGAGTTCCAGACTGTACAGAACCCTTTAAAAAAGTTTTTTAAAAGTCAAAGCTCCTTGGATGTTTGTTGTTGAGTGTTTTTTTTTTGTTGATTTAACTTGTTAAGTGTGTGAGGTACTGTATGTGGAATGTTTTGTGGACTGTTCATTTTATGGATGTTATTGCTTTGATTATTGTCTATTTGTCTGCCTGTTAAAAGGAAGTTTTTCCTTGCCTGTGTCGCCTAGTGCTTGCTTATGGTGGGAATCGTTGGGTTTCTGTAGTTAACTTCAGAGTAGGGTCTGACCTGCTCTGTTTGGAAAGCTGTGAGACGACTGTTGTTGTGATGTGGCGCTATAGAAATACAATTGAATTGAATTGAATTGAATAATATATCAAACTCAATAAGAATGTTGTTTAAAAAAAAAGAAAAGAGCAGCTCAGACGGGCAGAAGACGGCTTCCTGTGACCACAGCTTTAGCACATCAGGCTAAACCAGCCGCTTAGCAGAAGCTGAAAACCCTCAGAGGAAACCACACAAGTCAAAGTCGCAGAGAGGAGGGCGGAGGCTTCTGAACCTTTTGCTCCGGGGCGGCTGGACTCCGGCTCTGGTCCTGGTCCTGATCCTGGTCCTGGTCCTGGGTCCTCAGATCCCCGGCCTCCTCCCCCGCTCCATCCATCGTCCTGATAAAGTAATATAAAACTGTATGTAAAAATGCCTTTACCTTTAACTCATCGACTGG